TCCCAGCCCCACGGCCACGGTCAGCCAGACAGTCATCTCCTGGAGTCCCATCCTGACAGCCAGCCTCGCTGGGGAAGTATGGCAGATGCAGAGACCCAAAGCCAGAAGCAAAGTTCAGTTCAGCCCCAAAGCAGTCAGGCAGCTGCCAAGAACAGGCACTCGGAACAGGATAAAGAGAGGGAAAGAGACGTGGAGCAGAGATTGGAAGGCAAGTGCTTGGTGGCAAACAGGATTGAGGAGTTCTGGGGGGCTGGGTGTCAGGAACAGGGCTCCCACTCCTAATCTCAGCTCCCTTCCTGGGCTGGCCTCGGATCTCTCCTTGAGATGCTGCCAGCTCAGGCAAAGCACAGGAATGCTAATGAATGCCCCCCTTCCTCCACTTCCTCCTCCACGTGATGGATTTCCCTCCTTTCCTTAATCCCTCTACACCTACAAGCAGGGCGGAGAGGAGCCAGAGATGCTGTTGCTGCTGCTGCGGCAGCAGGAGAAATGCAGCCTGTTCAACAGAGCAGCCCTAGCTTTATACGGCTGTGCCTGTGCGTGTGAGCTAAGAGCGGATCTCACTCTCTCCACCCCTTCCCTCCCTCAGTGGCTCCTCAGCTCTGACATCCCACTGCCAGTCTCTGCAGCTCACTCCAAGAGACGCACTTCACTACCACAGGATCCAGCTACTCTTGCTCACCATTTAACAACTCAGCTGAGCTGGAGCCGTCATTGGGATGAGACACAGAAGGGGAGCAGGAGCTCTGGCTCATCCCTGCCTACTGAGACCCTTCTCTCTACTCAACAGCCAGACACTGGGGTAGCCATAAATCCATCAATGCAAGTCAATGGAGCTGACTCAGCAGCATGGGGGCTCCTGTTCTGGGACAAAGAAAAGAAAATCAAAACTTGTGCTAAACTTGTATTTATTTATAAGGGAGGAGGGAAAACACATTCTGGACCCATAAGTGAGAGAATCTTACTGGAACTTTAGCTGCCCTCCTGAAACATAGTGCATGATCCACTGGTGTGGTGCAGCAGCCACCATGAACTGGCCCTAAAGTGAACTTACCTGTCCCTGAGGAGCATAACCCCTCATAAAAAGCTCAACTGCTGAAGCAGAAATTAGATGGTTTTATGCCTCTCTCACGTCAGGTTGCTGGGGCAACAGGAAAAAAAATCTGTGGCTGGGACCTGCGATGCCATGCTTCTCCTCACCAGTGCCTTCAGCTCCTTGGGGCCACTAGAGCCTGGCCCTGGCTTGAACTTCTTGCTCTAATGCGGCAAAGGATACTGATCTATCGACCGCTGCAGAAGGATAAAGGATTGCAGAGGGTTTTAAGTCACCTTTGCCGCCCTCTTCACCCCTGACTTGCACTATGTACATTGTGGCCATAGCCAAGGATCTGACCTCAGTCACATTTGTTTGGGGGCAGGTGGAATCAGATAACATTTATATGCAGGGACCATTCTGTGTTCTTTAGATCCCATCTGATGCACAGAGCTTGGAGGTCAGGTGTGAGATGGTTATTTCCAGTGTCTAGCAAACCATGCAATTTAAAGAGTTGCTGGAGAAATCCATGGCCCCTGATTTATTGATTATGCTAAATGCATTTTAAAGGACACCAGAAAACCTACCATATTCAATGGGTGTGTGAGCTAAGAGCAAATCTCATAGGCTACATCTACACTACGTCTACGTCTACACTGCAGGCTTTTTGCGCAAGAACTGTTTTGTGCAAGAGTTCTTGTGCTAAAGGTCTTGCACAAGAGTGCGTCCACACTGCCATGTGCTTCTGCGCAAGAGATGTGCTTTTGTGCAAGTGTCCATGGCACTGTGGATGCTCTCTTGTGCAAGAAAGCTCTGATGGCCATTTTAGACATAGGGGTTTCTTGCACAAGAAACCTGTTGCCTGTCCACACTGCCTTTTTGCGCAAGAGGGCTTATTCCTTGTGAGAATAGGAGTAACTCTTCCCAAGAAGCCCTTTATTCTGATGCCTTACTGTTAATTTACTTGCGCAAGAGCACGCGTGCAGTGTAGATGGCCAACAAGTTTTTGTGCAAGAAGTGTCGTTCTTACACAAGAAGCTTGAAGTGTAGACGTAGCCTATGGGTGCATCTAGACTGGCAAGATTTTGCGCAAAAGTAGCTGCTTTTGCACAAAAACTTCTCAGCTGTCTACACTAGCCGCTTGAATTTGTGCAAGAGCACTAACTTTGTAATGTACAAAATCAGTGCTTCTTGCACAAATACTTTTAAGCTCCTGCTCAGGGATAAATTAAATTTTATAAATTAATGGAGATTGCCTATCTCCTAGAACTGGAAGGGACCTTGAAAGGTCAGAGAGTCCAGTCCCCTGCCTTCACAGCAGGACCAGGCACCATCCCTGACAAATTTTTGCCCCAAAACGGCCTCTAGAAGGATTGAATTCACAACCCCAGGTTTAGCAAGCCAATGCTCAAAGCACTGAGCTATCCTTCCCCCCGATGCTTATGCAAGATGGCCAGTGTAGACAGGCACCTTAATTTTTTGCGCAAGAAAGCCCAATGGCTAAAATGGCCATCGGAGCTTTCTTGCGCAAAAGCGCGTCTAGACTGGCACAGATGCTTTTGTGCAAAAGCACTTTTTGCACAAAAGAATCCTTGCCAATCTAGACTCTCTTTTGCAGAAACACTTTTAACGGAAAAACTTTTCCGTTAAAAGTATTTCCGCAAAATCATGTCAGTCTAAACGCAGCCTACACGTTTTGCCAGAAGAGGCAATGCAAATGAAGTATGGATTAGCATTTTCTCACTCTTCATTTGCATAATCTCTTCTGATCAGTTACGGATCTTGAGCAAAAAGGGTTTTTTGCGCAAAAAAGAAACGTCCACACTGCTTGTTTTTACACAAAAACCCTTCGCACAAAAATGGATCAGAAGAGATTATGCAAATGAAGTCTGAGAAAATGCTAATCCACGCTTCATTTGCATTGCCTCTTCCGGCAAAACTTATCGGCTACGTCTACACTGCGGGTTTCTTACGCAAGAACTGTTTTGTGCAAGAGTTCTTGTGCTAAAGGTCTTGCACAAGAGTGCGTCCACACTGCCATGTGCTTCTGCGCAAGAGATGTGCTTTTGTGCAAGTGTCCATGGCACTGTGGATGCTCTCTTGTGCAAGAAAGCTCTGATGGCCATTTTAGACATAGGGGTTTCTTGCACAAGAAACCTGTTGCCTGTCCACACTGCCTTTTTGCGCAAGAGGGCTTATTCCTTGTGAGAATAGGAGTAACTCTTCCCAAGAAGCCCTTTATTCTGATGCCTTACTGTTAATTTACTTGCGCAAGAGCACGCGTGCAGTGTAGATGGCCAACAAGTTTTTGTGCAAGAAGTGTCGTTCTTACACAAGAAGCTTGAAGTGTAGACGTAGCCTATGGGTGCATCTAGACTGGCAAGATTTTGCGCAAAAGTAGCTGCTTTTGCACAAAAACTTCTCAGCTGTCTACACTAGCCGCTTGAATTTGTGCAAGAGCACTAACTTTGTAATGTACAAAATCAGTGCTTCTTGCACAAATACTTTTAAGCTCCTGCTCAGGGATAAATTAAATTTTATAAATTAATGGAGATTGCCTATCTCCTAGAACTGGAAGGGACCTTGAAAGGTCAGAGAGTCCAGTCCCCTGCCTTCACAGCAGGACCAGGCACCATCCCTGACAAATTTTTGCCCCAAAACGGCCTCTAGAAGGATTGAATTCACAACCCCAGGTTTAGCAAGCCAATGCTCAAAGCACTGAGCTATCCTTCCCCCCGATGCTTATGCAAGATGGCCAGTGTAGACAGGCACCTTAATTTTTTGCGCAAGAAAGCCCAATGGCTAAAATGGCCATCGGAGCTTTCTTCCGCAAAAGCGCGTCTAGACTGGCACAGATGCTTTTGTGCAAAAGCACTTTTTGCACAAAAGAATCCTTGCCAATCTAGACTCTCTTTTGCAGAAACACTTTTAACGGAAAAACTTTTCCGTTAAAAGTATTTCCGCAAAATCATGTCAGTCTAAACGCAGCCTACACGTTTTGCCAGAAGAGGCAATGCAAATGAAGTATGGATTAGCATTTTCTCACTCTTCATTTGCATAATCTCTTCTGATCAGTTACGGATCTTGAGCAAAAAGGGTTTTTTGCGCAAAAAAGAAACGTCCACACTGCTTGTTTTTACACAAAAACCCTTCGCACAAAAATGGATCAGAAGAGATTATGCAAATGAAGTCTGAGAAAATGCTAATCCACGCTTCATTTGCATTGCCTCTTCCGGCAAAACTTATCGGCTACGTCTACACTGCGGGTTTCTTACGCAAGAACTGTTTTGTGCAAGAGTTCTTGTGCAAAAGGTCTTCCACAAGAGCGCGTCCACACTGCCATCTGCTTTTGAGCAAAAGCATCCATGGCAGTGTAGACACTCTCTTGCGCAAGAAAATCATGCTGCCTGTCTACACTGCCTTCTTGTGGAAGAGCTATTGCGCAAGAGGGCTTATTCCTCATGGGGAGAGGAATAACTCTTGCAGAAGAAGCCCTGTTTTCCAACAGAAGAAGCTGTACTGTAAATTTACTTGCGCAAGAAAGCGTGTGCAGTGTAGACACCAAGCAAGTTTTTGCACAAGAACAGCTGTTCTTACGCAAAAAGCCTGCTGTGTAGATGTAGCCATCGTGTAGATGTAACCTATTCTCCACCCCAGAGTTTCCAACCCTTGCCATTCTAGAGATTCAGATCTCTTTAATATTTTTGCTGCTTCAGTGTAAGAGCAGTCTTCTGGGGTCTTTTTTCCTTTCCTTCCCCAAAGATTGCCTTTGCATGCAATTCATATTTTTATGCTTTTCCAGCATTTGGAACCCAGGAGGACTGAAACCATTAAGGATGTTCAGCACCCTGCACATCAGTGGACTTCAGCTGATATTGAATCCACTCAC